GATTGAGGCTGAAAAAAAAGTCCCATCAGTTTTCCTTTTTTAAAATAACATTTTACCTTCTGATCATCAAGTGATAATCTTTGGAGGAAACTTGGGAGATATAGAGAAAATCACAAAGAAAAAAACACCCTCTTCCATCTTGCCTGCCATGCAGATTGTCGTGAGCACGTCTGTCAAAGATCCCTCTGGTCTCCTCTCTGCATTAACACATTGTTATATTAACACAGTTTAGAAACTGGATTGTTCTCCATTTTGCTGTATATCATGAACACTTCAAGTGTCATGAAATATTCTGGCTTTAAACGATTCCATTGTGGGAATGTACCACAGTTTATTCAGCCAGTTGTCAGACTTTCAGCATCAATTACTTATTTTTTTTAATTTGTTTATTTTTGGCTGTGCTGGGTCTTTACCACTTTGCATGGGCTTTCTCTGGTTGCAGCAAGCAGGGACTACCCATCATTGTGGTGTGCAGGTTTCTCATTGTGGTGGATTCTCTTGTTGCAGAGCACAGGCTCTAGGGCATGTGGGCTCAGTGGTTGCAGCTTGTGGGCTCTAGAATGGGTAGGCTTTAGCAGTAGAACAGCAGGCTTCAGCAACAGGCTTAGTTGCTTGGCGGCATGTGGAATCTTCCCATCCAGGGATAGAATCCACGTCCCCTGCATTGGCAGGCAGACTCTTTACCACTGAGCCACCAGGGAAGTTCTCAATTACTTATTAATTGTGCTCCTCATTTGCACTGCTAGGTGTGAGGTTCATGGGTCAGGGACATTTTTCTACTTTTATTTGAGACCATTGTTGATGCACATGCATTTGTGCAACAGAAGGCACACAGAGCTCGCATCCACCTTCCCTGACAGTAATGTGAAAATAAAGACTGGCTGATGGGAACCAGCAGAGGCTGTGTGTTCAGAGCATAGCAGGGCGGGGGCGGGGGGTGGGGGAGGGTTGGTCACCAGCCACCATCACAGGCAGACTGGAAGGCGTGGAGAGGGGGGCTTGGGTGTGCCCCAGTGGGGGCTGGGGGACTGGCAGTAGGGGCCTAGTGTGGGGCATCCTATGTGATTGACTAGGGGTGCATTTTGACTTTTCTGGCAGATTTGGGTTTTGTTTTTATTTGGCTGCATCAGACCTTAATTGCGGCCCACAGACTCTAGAGCACGGGCTCAGTAGTTGTGGCACACGAGCTTAGTTGTCCTCAGGCATATGGGATCTTCTTGGACCAGGAATTGAACCAGTGTCCCGCGCCCTGCATTGCAAGGTGGATTTCTAACCACTGGACCAGTAGGGAAGCTGTCTGTGTGTCTTTAAGACATACATTCGACCCACTCTCCTGATGAAAACATCTCCCTATGACCTTAGAACAAAGTCCAAAATCCTTGCTGTGGGCCCAGCCTACCTCCAGCCCCATCACATGCCTGCACCTCTCTTTTCCTCAAACATCCAGAGCTCTTCTCTGCCCCAGGGCCTTTGTCCCCCCTGCCTACAGTCCTGCCCCCCACTTCCCCACCCCACTGCCCTCATCTCTCAGGCCTGCCCTGCTTCCTCTGAAGTCCCCTCCCACCCGGTTACTCTCCATGTTCACACAAGCATTCTTACCCACTTCAAAGCCCTTATCCCAGCTGCCAATGATGTGTCTCTCCTGTGTGTTCTGTCCCTCTTCACTGGCCTGGTATGGGTGGGACCATGTCCGTATGGTTGTTCTCTAGGCATTGAGCACAGAGCCTGGTGCCTGCACACAGAAAGTTCTCAGTCAGTAACTGAGGGGTGAAGTGAAGGGAAAGTCACTCAGTCATGTCTGACCCTTTGCGACCCCATGGGCTATAGCCTGCCAGGCTCTCTGTCCATGGAATTCTCCAGGCAAGAGTACTGGAGTGGGTAGAAAATTCTTCTCCAAGGGATCTTCCCGACCCAGGGATTGAACCAGGGTTCCCTGCATTGCAGGCAGATTCCTTTTTTTTTTTTTTTACTTTACATGAGTGTACATGTGTTCCCCATCCTGAACCCCCCTCCATCCCCATCCCATCCCTCTGGGTCATCCCGGTGCACCAGCCCCGAGCACCCTGTCTCATGCATCAAACGTGGACTGGCAATTCGTTTCACATATGATATTTTATACATTTCAGTGCCATTCTCCCATATCATCCCGCCCTCGCCCTCTCCCACAGAGTCCAAAAGACTGTTCAATACATCTATGTCTCTCTTGCTGTCTCGCATATAGGGTTATCGTTACCTTCTTTCTAAATTCCATATATATGTGTTAGTACACTGTATTGGTGTTTTTCTTTCTGGCTTACTTCACTCTGTATAATAGGCTCCAGTTTCATCCACCTCATTAGAACTGATTCAGATGTATTCTTTTTAATGGCTGATTAATATTCCATTGTATATACGTACCACAACTTTCTTATCCATTCATCTGCTGATGGACATCTAGGTTGCTTCCCTGTTCTGGCTATTATAAATGCAGGCGGATTCTTTACCAACTGAGCTACCAGGAAATTGAGAGCTAAGCATCCCCATACACTGGAATATTATTCAGCCACAAAAAGGAATGAACCCTGAAATCATTAGCCTCAGAGAAAGACATCAGACGCAAAGGCCACATGGTATATGATTTCATTTATAAGCCATGTTCAGAAGAGGCCGATCCATAGAAACAGAAAGTGGACACATGTTGCGGGGGGCTGGGAAGGAGGATGTGGCAAAACTCTTAGTGGACACTGATTTCTCTGGGAGGATGACGGAATGCTCTGGAATCAGATACTATGTACCGACAATGGCACAACAACTGAATATGCCAGAATACACTGACTTGTGCACTTTTTTTTTAACCTGTGCACTTTAAAAGGGTGAATTTTCTGATGCGTGGATCACATGTTGATAAAAAAAAAAAAACCTATATAAATCTGAGGATTCTATGAGTGGGCAGCAGGGTCTGCAGACCTGGAGCTCCTTGCCTCCTGCAGTGTCGAGCCCCACCTAGCGAGGATGTCCTGTCTTTCAGTCATGAAAAGGCGGGTCCTGAGCCCATTTGTCTCTGGTTGGAGGATGAGGACAGAAAACCAGAACCCTGTAAAACAGATTTCCACCTTCCTCTTGCTGTTGCCTTCTTTTCTGTTTCCATAAAATGCATCTGCCTTTAAAAAAACTTTTATTCAGTTAAAGCCGACAGTAAAGCTGACTCTGTGTCAGGCCCTCCCTGGACGGGAGGGTGGGGAAGGCTGGACAGGCACGCAAGAGGGCCTGCTGGGCACACACCTCGTACATGAGAGACTCTGGGGGCATACAGGAGAGACCCCTGCCTCGACCATGGAAGTGTCTCCACCACTGTCCACCCAGCTCCTTGCACAGCACCAGCCCAGAGCAAATGCCTAGCATATGTCTGATGAATGAAGGCCCCCGCCCATTACCACCTTGCATCCCAACAGGCCTGGAGGCCTCCCCAGCCCCAAGCCAAGTTCAGCCTCAGCATAAGCCACCACCTCCAAAAAGGACCCAGTGGAAGATGGTGCCCACACTCCCTCACCCCTGTGGGCCCTTGACAGCACACTGGAACAACCTGGGAACAAGGAACTGAACCAAGAACATGCAGATGAGGACAAAGGCGGTATGCCCCAGGGGCAGGTGCAGGGCTGGGAGCCCATGCCAGTCAGAACTCCTCGTTGCAAGCAACAAAGGTAGTGTAGTGTTAGTTCAGTCATGTCTCTTTGTGACCCCATGGACTATAGCCCGCCAGGCTCCTCTGTCCATGGGATTCTCCAGGCAGGAATGCTGGAGTGGGTTGCCATTCCCTTCTCCAGGGGAATCTTCCTGACCCGGGGATCAAACCCGGGTCTCCTGCATTGCAGGCAGATTCTTTACCATCTGAACCACCAGGGAAACCTAAAATAGCATAAAACAAGAAAGGGAATATATTCTAATATTGGTTCGGGTGTACAAAGCATCTGTAAGGGACCCTCCCCTCAATTTTGCTGTGAACCTAAAACTGCTTTATAAAGAAAAGTCTTCATTTGTTTCTGTATATAGATAAGAGCTTCAGGTGCAGCTTGACCCAGGGGCTGCCCAGTGAGAGGTGGTCACTTGAGCCTGCCATGGCTTTGTTTCCTCTGAGGTGGCCCTGTCCTCCAGTTTCCATCTCTGTTGCCACAAAGTGACCACAGCCCCCAACCTCACACGCCAGCCCAGCCAAGTCCAGGAGCAGGGATGGCACATTGAATTCCTAGAAACCCCCAAAAGCACATCTCCTTGCACCCAAGCTCTGACTGGGTACGGTGCCCACTGCTAACCTGATCACTGTGGCCAGGGATGGGGGGCATGCTGATCTAGCCCGGGCCTCCCAATGGAGAAGGGTGAGTGCCAATAGGAACACCACACCCTGCTCTCAGGAGGCAGGGGACTATCCCGGGGTGTCCTCTGCAGACCCCAACCCTGGCGCCTGGTGGGGAACGGGCGCTGAACCGAGGGAGGGTGTAGGTACTCGCCATCTCTGGGCTCGCACACTCTGAATTTCCTGCACCTTCTTCTGCATCCCGTGTGCAGAGCATCCCCTCTGAGGGGTCTCTTCTTACTTAGCATCCTTGAGTGCCTATTAGGCACCTTCTGGATACAGCCCTGTCTCTCTACTATGTGTTGAGCCCCCACCATGCCGGCCAGAGCGCTCAGGAGGGAGTGTGCAGGGTTTTGAGCCGGAATTGCAGGCTGTGCTGACGCTGGGTGGCTCCCTCTCCTGACGAAGTCAGAGCAGCGACCTCAGAGCAGACTTGAACCTGGGAAGAAGACCCCACCCCCGTGGTTCTGCAGGAGGATCTGGGGGTGGGGGGAGGGACGGACACATTCCCAGGGCCTGGCAGCGGCCCAGCCCACAGGTGGAGAAGGACACGCACCACATCCAGTCTCCAGGAAGACATGATCGTGGGAGACATCTGCCGGGGTGTGTGTGAAGGTCAGCGGCAGGGATGGCAGGCAAGTCCCCCAGGAGCTGCCTGTCTCTGTTGCAGGCACCTACGTGATGACAGTCACGGCCAACGATGCAGATGACGCCACCACGGCCAACGGGATGGTGCGCTACCGGATCGTGACGCAGACCCCGCAGAGCCCCTCCCAGAACATGTTCACCATCAACAGTGAAACGGGCGACATCGTGACTGTGGCCGCTGGCCTGGACCGAGAGGTGAGGCGGCGCCGCGGGGCCAGACCACGGCCTCCCCGCTGCGGTCTGTGTGGGAGAGGGTGGCCCAGAGGGAGGCCACCACTGGCCTGGGTGGAACGATGGTGGTGGCTGCTGCTGCCACCGGAGGGACGGAGGAGGGGGATCATGTGTAAATACAGTGGATGACATGTTTATGGTGTGGATCGTGTGTTTATATGATGTGGGTCACGTTCGTATAAAGTGGATCACATGTTTGTATGTGGTGGATCACATGTTTATATTATATGGATCATGTGTTTATATGATGTGGGTTTCATGTTTATATAAAGTGGATCACATGTTTATATGATTGGATCACATGCTTATATGAAGTAGATTGTGTATATTATATGGATCATGTGTATTATGTGGATCGTGTTTTTATATGATGTGGATTGTGTGTTGATATGAAGTAGATCATGGGTTGATATGAAGTGGATCATGTTGATATGAAGTGGATTGTGTGTATATAACAGTGGACTGTGTGTATACTCGGTGGATCACATATATAAGTAGTTGGTTTCGCATGTATATATAGTGGATTGCATGTGAATATGGAGAAGATCACATTATGTATAGTGGACCATGTGTTTATATGCAGTAGATCACATGTGTGTGTAGTGGATTGAACATGTATATACAGTACTTCATGTGTATATGCAATGGACTGCATGTAGAGGCAGTGGACTGTGTCCACAAGGTGTCGTGAATGGATGAGGTAGAGCTAATTATGAAGAAGTCAGAGGCTTCTCAGAAGAGGTGGCCTTGCTCTGAGCCTTGGACATTGATATAATCAGTTATATTTCCTCCCCTTTGGGACTAAAGACCCGCTTTTTCTGAACACTGCACACCACACGTCTAACTGGTTCTGAGTAATCACAGATTCCCACCCCACAGACTCCTCCTTTCAGTCAAAAATTTTCACTGAGCACTGACTTTGTGCTGGAAACCACCAAGGATGCCAGACAGAGAGTAGTGGATAGGGCGAGTGGTGACTGTTTGTGTGGGGCTGACTTCGCAGCAGGGAGGAGTGGGCGAGGGGGGACGATCCCCACAAGATAAATGAGTCCAGGTAGTGGTGTGGCTTATAAGGAAATGGCATCATGCGATGTCCACAAAGGATTTGGTGGGGGCTGGCATCCAGAGAGGCCCCGTTCTCTCAGGAAGGGTGTGTATGAGCATCCCAGGGCTGTCCTAACAAAGGAAGTATGTCCTCTCTCAGTGCTGGAGACCATGAGTCCAAGATCCTGGCAACTTTGGGCCCCAGCCCGGCAGAGCAGAAGGTCCCACCCACCTCCCCCAGGGGGCAGATCCACTCCCCTGCCCAGCACAAACTTGCACCTCTAAAGAGCCCCTGCTCATTGCTAGATGAGCCTGGACTTCAGGTGAAGGAAGCAGAGAGGCGGGAGCAGGTGGTACCAGCCCTTGGCCCCAGTCACCCAGCCTGCTGAGCCATCACCTGCCCTGTTTGAGATAATGAGCAGCCCGCCGCACGGTCCTGCTGGGAGCCTAGCTGCAGCTTCAGGCTCGGAGGAGAGAAGAGGTGTTTCCAGGGCCTCTGCCTGAGGAGAGAGGGCAGCACCCAAGGGGCCTTATGCAGAGCAGAGAGACCTCAGCTGGGAAAGAGGTGGGGGGGGTGCTCGTTCTGAAGGCGCAGGGCAGCTCTGAACACCATGTCCCTGCTTTCCCCTGTGAGTGGCCTGCGGACTGTCCCTGGTTTGCCTTTACCTACAAATACCCGGGCAGGTGTGGAGTGGGACAGACAGAGGATGGGTGGTCAGCCAGAAGCAGGAGGAGGTATGGGCATGCCTGCTACTCATGCAAGTGTGTGCTGAGCTCATGCATGGCAGAGCCTGTTCTGGACAGTGGGGCGCCCCAGGGACCCCAGCATGGGCCAAGCACTGTGTGCATTGTCACATCTTAGTCCTTGAAACTGCCCTGGGGGGACTCCTGGAACAGCGATTCTTTCCAGATGAGAAAGGCAAAGCTACAGGGCTCTCAGTTGCCCAGGGCCACAGGGTCTCAGAGCTCAGGAGGAGCTCGGCCCCCATACTACAAACTGTCCGTCGTTGTCTGCAGTTCACATTTAACTGAGCAGGCTGTTTTTGGTTGCTCTGTCTGGCAACCGACCCTGAAGCAGCTGCCCACTCTGGGCCCAGGTGGGGGCAGGGGTACCTCGTGGAGAGTTCGGTGTGCGTACTCCCTCCTGCATACCCCCTCCTTGGGCTCTGCAGCACCTGGCTGGCTGCCCGGCACGGGATGGGCCAGCCGGTGTTCTGGGACCAGCCTGGCTTCAAGTTCTCAGTGACCCAGCCGAACAGGAAGAAACAGCCCAGGCCGTGCCCATCCCAGTGTCCTCTGGCCTCTGATTGGCTCAGTCCCGCCCCTGAGACCAGGCCTCTCCTTTGGGACCGCTCCTGGGTCGGTCATGGGCACCCCACCGGCTCCACCCCCAAAATCTCCTCCCCCCACCTCCCCCCAGAGCAGGTGGTTGCTGAATCTTAAGCGGGTCAAGTGAAATAATTAAGCAGAAGCTGTCTGCACTAATTAGTGCATCCACGGACCAGGACTGCAATTATCCTGAGACAGCTGTTGGCCACTCCTTTCCCCACTGCAGGACGAGCCCTCGGGTGTGCGGGGGGCAGCCTGGGAGGGCCCAGCCCAGGAAAGGGCAGCCCCGCAGACAGAGCGAGGGGTAGGGTGGGCCAGGACAAGGGCAGCAGGACTAGCACCCTGAGGCCCCCACGCCTGAGCTCCTCGGCCCTGGTATCCCGCGGCCTGGTCCCACCACCACCACCAAGCTGGCTTCTGTCTCCACCCCTCCCCTCTCCAGCCTCTGGACTCACTGGCCTCTCCCATCTGGCTCTTCCCGTATTCTCACCAGATGCCACCTCCTCAGGGAAGCCCCCAGACTCCTCTTCTCTCACTGAACCTGCAGTTCCTACAGAGCCCAGTGTGGGGCAGATACTCCGGGGACTTTTCTTCTTTGCTGGGGGTCCCTTCCTATGGGTCTGCATGGCCCATGACATATGCATGAGCCTCTCTCCCAGCACCCCTGCGTCCCACCATCAGGGCAACGTCCCCACAAGGAGACATGTGACCCAAGGGGGTGGCTAGTGTCCCCAGCTCCAGTGAGGAACAGGGAGAGACTTGGTGAGGGGCCAAGAGAAAGCTCCATCCCCAGGGCCCAGGTCATGTGAGGCCAGGATAAGGACACAGTGTGGATGGATGGGTGAGCTGGAGGCTTGGTGGCCCAGAGGGACAGACCACAGCCATCCTGTCTGGGGCCACACAGGCACCTGGGACCAGTGGGAGCCGGGAGCATGAGGATGGTGGCCTGGGGCTTGAAGTCACAAAGGGGGTGGGTCAGAGAATGCACACAGGGTTGGGGGGCTTGCTCTGAGCCTCCCCCAGGGAGATGGTCATTCACGTGAGGGTGGGGAAGAGGGAGGGAGCAAGGTGGTGTTCACTGGGCACCTACTGTGTACCATGCACTCCCAATACTAACTGCACTAAAGACAAGCCCCTTGGGGCAGCCAGTGCCCAGTTGCTGGGGACGCCATCCACTACACTGTCCTCTTTCTGTCCTGAGCTGCCCCCTGTGGGTTGGATGCCAGACTCCTCTGGCAGTGGCTGGTATGTCTCGACTTAGAAACAAACATTGCAGGGCCTCGGCTGCACGTGTGGAGGGTGCACCCACGCTGGGTGGGAACTCAGCCTGCCGTGCCCTTCCCGTATGGTTTTCCAACTTGACCTGTGGCTTTGTCTGGACACCCATGAACTAAATGTACAAAGGACCATGGGCAGGGCCTTTCTGCTCTCTTTGAAGGATGCTGACCACCCCCACCCCCACTCCTGTGGACAGAGGTTTCCCCTTGGCAGGGAAACACTGCAGATACTTCTTTCAGAACTGGCTTCCTGTTTGCAGAGTAAGTCGTCTTTAGAAAGGAATAAAATCCACAAACATAATTGCCACTGTGTCTAATTAGGCAGAGCTATGTAAATCGAGCATTTCTACATGATTAAAATGTCAGGAGAGCTGGGGTGACACAGGAGCGGCTGAGTGTCTCTCGCATCCCCATTATCGGAGGGGCCCCTCTCGCTAATCCTGCTCATCTGCCTCCCTCCTAATTAGAATATTTATGGCCTGATAAGCCAGGCAGGTGGTGCTCTGAAGGGAGGATAGTCACTGGGCTGTGTGACCTGCCCATCCAGCTCCATCCTTGAACCGCTGACCATGGGCAGCTCACCGTCTTGAAACTTCTCCCAAAGGTGGGTGAAATTCACCATATTATGGTTCATAGGACTTTTAAGAAAGCAACTCCAGCACCTTTCTATATTTCTCAAGCGTCTCCACTCTATGTGGCTATCAGATGAGATTTCACAGAGAGTGATGAGTGATAAAGATGGCTTATCCCAGGGCCAGTGATGATTGTGACCTCCACTAACTTTATGAATTCACTCATGGGACTCAGCTCAGGTGGAAAACATTCTTAGTGACAAGACCAGCATCCCCCCTTGCTCACAAGAAATGTCACGACAGGCCACATGGGAAATTCGAAAAATTTGTTTTCCTGGAAAAGGAGCTCTCTGTAAGACTATAGCAAGCATCACGGGGAGTGGGGTCATTGGTGGTCTTGGACCAGGCAGAGTTCGGTGCGTGTCGTTTAGTCACTAAGTCATGTCTGACTCTTGCAACCCCATGGACTGCAGCATGCCAGACTTCCCTGTCCTTCACTGATCCCAGAGTTTGCTCAAGCTCATGTTCATTGAGTCAGTGATGCCAGTCAACCATCTCATCCTCTGTTTCCCCCTTCTCCTCCTGCCCTCAATCTTTCCTAGTATCAGGGTCTTTTCCAGTGAGTCAGCTCTTCGCATTAGGTGACCAAAGTATTGGAGCTTCAGCTTCAGCATCAGTCCTTCCAATGAATAATCAGGGTTGATTTCCTTTAGGACTGACTGCTTTGATCTCCTTGCAGTCT